GATCTTCGATTGGCGCTGCAAGACGAATTGGGCAGCAATGCCTCAACAACTCATTGACACCCTCAATCTCAGCACGGGCAGACGCTGTGAAACCTGTCTAGCAGTCAGGGGAGACATATCCCCTATTTAAAGACCGGATGTTTCTTGCTGGACACCCATCACAGGGATGTTTCGGCCTTCAGTCGCATTGCGCTCCATGCTACTTTTTCAATAAAGCTTCTATCCCTATGATTTCTCTTTTAGTAAGTGTTGCTTACATTACTCATGTCCTTACGTATTGGGGATCTTACGGTATTAAATGTGTTGATTTGGAAAGCTTTTGTACAAAGTTATATTGAAAAAACTGTCTTGTCCTTAACTTTTGCACAAAAGTGTAGGTCTAAGCCATACATTTCCGAGACAAATAGAAAGAAAAGAATTTCTTTTGCCAAAACATATTTAAACTCTTCGCAGGACTTCTGGAACAATGTAATTTGGTCAGATGAAAGTAAATTTATAATATTTAAAGCTAATGGCCACCCTATTGTAAGGAGAAAACCAGGAACAGAACTGAATTGAGAAATTTAAATCAAACTGTCAAACATGGAGCTGGCGGTGTGATGGTATGGGGTGTATGTCGTCGAAAGGAGTTGGAAATTTTTCACATTATTGATAAAGTCATGGATAAGTATGTTTTTATCTGGATATTCTGAAGAAAATATACGAGACAATGCCCGAAATTTAAACCTTTCTAATACCTTTATTTTCCAACAAGACAACGACCCGAAACATACAGCTAAAAGTGTGAAGGAATATCTCCTCTATCACACTCCAAGACAGTTGCGTACTCCTCCACAGTCACCAGACCTCAATCTAATCGAACATTTGTGGGCAAAATTGGAGAAACGAATTCGAAAACACAATATTACGTCGCGAAATGAGCTAATTAGTAAATTGCAGGAAGAATGGGCGAAATTTACGTCGGATGACACTGAAAAACTAGTTCAGTCGTCAATGCCCAGACGTCTGCAAGCTGTTTTGAAGAATAAAAGGATATCCTATAATGTATTGAAGTAATGTAAAAAACTTATATTTTGCTTTTTTAAAAAGTGTACGCAGACTTTATTGGCGGGAATTTCTGAGTTTTTTTTTGACAAAATATATTTTTGAAAAAAAGTAAAAAGTATTACACTGATATTATTTACTTTTTATTTAAGCTTACAATTTTAGCTAATAGAAGAAAAAAATGCAATGATTAAAATACATTTTCTATGTTTTAAGTGTTTTTTTTTAATTTAAAATTAAAACGTCTGCGTCTGTACGCAGACGTTTGTGGCTAACTGTATTTATCGTTTTACGTCGTGGGAGGAATGGGTAGGGAATATCAGCAGCAGAAGAATATCGTACAGTAAGTAACATGCTGTTAGGATGTCAAAGTGGTTTGGAATCCTACCTGGAAAGTCTTTCATTTCCAACCACAACGACAAACGTGTTGGACTGTTGTCAGATATTCACTTTTCATATACAATCAAGGTTTGTGGACAGAACTTTTCATCTTTATTTCTTATTAAGACAGAAAAGCAAAATTCCAGACGCCGCGCTTTCTTTTCATCAGAGAGTTCATGAGACATCTACTTGTCAAGCTTTCTTCCTGTCCCTGTTACCGTCAGGTGCCATGAAACAGTTGAAAAGTATACGTTTAGTGTCTGAGCAATCTTTTGTATAGTTTGTTGTGGATCTGATTCAATTAAATCCTTTCATTCAATCGAGTCAATACAACTAACCAATAATCTTCTGAAAATCTAGACGCGTGATGGAAACCATGCTTTTTAAAGCGAAGGTTTATTTGATTAGAAGGAAGAGGTCAAGCAGTGGCACTCCAGCGAGATGAGTTGAAAGGAATGGCTGATGAATACAGTGACAGTGAGTGCCATGGGTCACCAGCAGCCGAGCGGTAAAATCGCTGAACACTGGTAGTTCCGACTCGGATTAGAATCCAAAAACACGGGCTGGCTGCATGGGCATTTTTGTGGTTTTCCCCACGTGTAATACGTATATAAACCAGCTTCCCTTAGAAAGTCTTCCACGAAGGTCCCCCTTGGGCAGACAGGCCTAGTGTAATTTCCTATAGTAAACTAAACCACACCAAACCAGTGAGTGCCATGCACAACTTTCACGTCGTCCTAAAGATAAAGAAGACCGACGTAAAATTTCAAAACTGCGTTTAACATTTTATTGTAAACTAGGCCTCCTAAAAAACCAAAGACACATATTCGTAAACGCAAAAGACTGCTGAATCTTCCACTTGCATTCGCAGATTGAGAAAAAGTAAATTAAATTATAAAAGGATTTGTGAAACACTTTACACGTATAGTGCGCGTAAATTTTTTTTTATAACTGATAACTAGAAAATTCCTAGCGTATCCAATGCTGGTGGTTTTGTTCATTACGCTCTGAATGGTTTTTACTATCTTTCACGATTTTGGACCGGGCTCGGGAAAGGATTAATATAATTCTCATTGTAACCTATGAGGAATGGTGTCTCACATAATGAACACCAACACGAAATGCATTACATTCGTTACGTAAGACATCATGCAGCGAGAAGTCTTATTCTGGAATACGAGGCGATGGATGTCGGCGTTTCCAATTAAAAGGCGTCAAGAATGTAAATTTTATGTCAGCGACAATTTTTCCTAGACTGAACACAGGAAGCCAAAGCACAATGCCGAATTTGGTAACGCCTACGCAAATATGCCGTTCTTTAGTAGCCATTTTGTTTATGTTTGTTTAAATTTATACGTATTGCAACGAATTTTGTACATACATAGATATTTTAGTTCAATTATATGTGACTCTTATCGTCATGCGCCTTTTAGGCTTCATTCTCACTGAGACGGCAAAATTACACTTTTGTGTAATAGTTCCGGTGATATGTTTATAAGTTGAAGTTGCTGTCAGTAGTTGTTGTTCAAGTTGCTCTCAGTAGTTGTTGCTCACGCTGAACTAACAGTTCAGTTATTTTTACTCTGAACTGTTAGTTCAGCGTGAACTGAGATATCTCGGCTTTCTCGATATAGTTTTCTCTTTAGGTGCGCTTTGCGTTCTGTTGAACGTTCTTAGTAACTTGAAGTATACACTGACTACCAATAGTATTTGGACACCTATGCAAATGACGATATCTCGGTCCTAAGGTACGTCACGGACTCTGCCGGTATATATCGTGTAGGAAACAGCATCGGCTTTAGTCGCATGCAAGATGCCTCGCAGTTGAGCTCTCTGATTTCGAGAAAGGTGTAATTATCGGATATCACGAATGTGGCCAATCCTTAAGGGACATATTTAGCGATCTGAAGTACCCAATATCGACAGTGGCCTATGTGATCGTACATTTAAGTTAATCGTAGACGTCGTTCCCGATATTACTTCGGTAAATCGAAAGTTGACTGATTTGATGTAAAATTTTTAATTTATAAAATACAGTCAGCTTTCGATCTGTTTGTTTCTCTTTCGCAAGTTAATAAACTTTTGGAAGGTGAAAAGTGGAAGTGGAAGGTGAGCGGTGATTGTCGAAATGTGCCCCGAGTCGCAGACCAACGAAACTGGGAGATAGAAACCGACGAGTGCTGTCCAGAGAAATTCGGAAGAACCGCACCCAACCGATGGCCCTCATCCGCGAGAAGGTTCAACAGGCATCCGGGAGTATTGTTTCAATGAATACCATCCATAAGGAAGCACATCTGTTTGGTTTTCATGGTCGTGCTGCTGCCCATAAGCCTTTGATCACAAATTCCAACCGCGCTGCTCGGTTAATGTGGTGCAAAGCACATCGAAATTGGACCGTAGATCAGTGGAAACGGGTTCGTTGGAGTGACGAATAAAGGTTCACCCTTTACCGTTCGGATGGCAGGGTCTGGGTCTGGCGTCTGCCTGGAGAACGTCTCCTGCCAGAATGCATTGTGCCAACAGTCAAGTTCGGTTGAGGGGGAATTATGGTCTGGAGGTGTTTCTCCTGGTATGGGCTGGGACCCTTGGTCCCCATTCATGGTAAGCTCAACTCCGACGCCTACTGCACTATTTTGGATGACAATGTGCTTCCTACGTTGTGCAGTTTTACGGGTTGGACCCCTGTTACCTTCAGGACGACAATGCCAGTTGTCATGTTTCGACTTTAACCAAGGCTTGGTATGGTGCCAATGGAGTTTCATCGAATGGACTGGCCTGCCCAGAGTCCAGACCTGTGTTTAGTTGAAGTGTTTTTATCTGATAAAATTAAATGTTATTAATCTGTCATCGGACCTGTGTGCATTCGATCTATTAGGGGCCAGTACGCACGCAACAGTATGATCGATTCTCGATAAATCGAAAGTCGGATTAAATTAAGTTAAAATTTTAAGTTTAAGAATGAATTTTTTTATTGGGAATGATTGAAAAATTATGATCATATTATCAGCGTAAAACAATACTGTGTCTGCAAAATATGAAAATTTTAAAAAAAGTGCATGGTTAATAGAAGTGATAGCAGAATGATGTTGAGAACTGATTTTACCCACAGCGCGTGTAATTAATTTATTAGCCGATCTTTTACACAAGTTTGAATTAGGTGACATTTTTAAAAGTTTTTTTGTGAATGCTGTTCTGTAAAATCATCTACAACTTAATTTCTTCACTTTTAATTATATTTACTGTCCCATTATTTACAATGTATTCTCTTTGTTTTGAGTACTGATTTAATTTACGTAACGAAATTAACTTATTATATCTAGTAATACATATTTGAAAATATAGATGAATTATTAATAGCAATTTTCTGTTAATTTTAATATGGCTTCATGAGGCATTTTAACTATCATTGAATTAATCGTACATTTAAGTTAATCGTAGACGTCGTTCCCGATATTACTTCGGTAAATCGAAAGTTGACTGATTTGATGTAAAATTTTTAATGTATAAAATACAGTCAGCTTTCGATCTGTTTGTTTCTCTTTCGCAAGTTGATAAACTTTTTCTTCTATTTCTAGCCCCTGTGACTCCAGTCGAGAAAAAGCCAGTAGATTGTACGTTTGGAAGCATCATACCAAAACCCGCTCAAAGTAATAATAATTTTACGTATAAGTTATTCATAAATTTTTGTTTCTTTGTTAAAAAATCTTTTAGAGAATAAATAAATTTTGCACGTAATTCAAGAAAATATTTTACACTTCTCAGTAACGTAAACAATTATGAAATATGAACAGCATTAAACATTCTCTCACAGAAAACGAATTCAAATTGCTGATAACAACCAAACATTTGATTACATTTATCGCATTAGCTGCCAATATTAAACATTTTATTTGAAAATTCCGTGTGTATTATTTACTCTGACAAAGTAAAAAACAACAACAGCAAGTAAAAAACAATTTTTCAAACAGTATACTCAGTTATAAAGTATGGGCAGATGATAAGTAACAGTTCAAGAGAAGTTTCATAATCAAGACTGCATTTTAATAAGATATGAAATTAATATTCAAAATGTATAGTTAACTACTATTATCAATGACGAAAAAAAGTTTTTGTAAAAAATTTAATTTCTCAAAACTAGATTATAATTTTTGAATTTTTTAAAATACAGGATCATCTTTGACAACAGTGTGATGCATTTTAATATTAGGAATTAAATTAGAAGTGGCAAACTTTGCTCGCTTACTAATGTAGGTTTTCAGTATCTCGGAACGCCAGATCTTAAAAATATAAAAATGACTTAAAAATGTGCAACTGATCAGCGTTGCCAGAAATTTTTCAACTAAAGTAGCAAACGAAGACTCAAATTCGCAAGAAGGCGCAAATGACGTTGGAGATCACGTGATTTTTAATAACTTCGATCCTTAGTCGGTTTAATTACGTATCTTAGCTTTAACGAAAATTATAAAACTATATTGCTCATTTTCAATTGTTAAAATATCCATTCCTTTTGTAATTAATTCTCATTTAATTAAGATTTCTGTTTTTAATTTAATTTGTAAGATATTCTTCACGTTTAGATTGTTAGCGCTTTTTGTACTAAACTTTTTGAGTTGGCAGTTACTTTTTTTAATCCAGTGTGAATTTTTTTTTTCGTTTGTGTGTGTGTGTGTGTGTATCTTTTATTGGGAACATTTTAATTGAGGAATGCTTTTTAGTGAGTTTTCCGTTCTGGGTGGTGGGCGTATTTAAGATTATGATTACTTAAGAAAGCCTTTGTTCTTTCACTGCTAAATTTATTCGTGTTGTTAGAAAACGCAGGTGCTTTGATTTTTAAGTCATTTCTACTCCTTAGTTCTAAGCAATATTATAATGAGGATGAATTTTATTTATTTCTCTGTTTGGGTACCCAATATATGGCGCACAAGCTGCAAGTTCTTTTGTTCGATTTGTTATCACCATAGAAATGAAGGGATGGGGGACAGTCTTAAAAACAAAATTTGTAGAGCACTAAAATCATGAATATTTGTATTAAGGTACATAATTCTGTGTTTTACAAAGCATTTTACGATATACTAAAAAAATCTTTGAAGTCTCAAAACGTAGCATAAGGGAAGGATGAAAGTCGCAAAATAGCAAATACTAAAATTTTAGGAGCACAAGTAGTAGTCAAAAAACGCAAATTTGCGAAAAATCGCACGATCTGGCAACACTGCAACTGATTTATAATCGGCATATAGCAAAAACTGTTCATAAGTGCCTTCAAGATACAATATGCTGTTCATGATTGAAATCTGCAGATTTGGCTCTGCATTATTCATTAAATATCCTCGTTTTCTCGAGACATTCATTCAATCGATTAATCCCGCGTAGACGCACATAGTAAAACTGAAAATTTTATTTGCCCTTTAAAAATATGGGTACTATTCCGTTTTGAGGACCGTAAAAAATTGCAGCGAAAATATATGCACAAAGCGCCAAATCTAGCAAACGCGCCCATTTAAAGCGCGCCAAATCTAGCGTACGCCTGATTTCAGATTGCGTAAGTTTATATAGTTCTATATTTCTTATGACGCCATAGAAATAATAGTTTAATTTTTAAATCCTCTTTTAATATCCTATGGATTTAACAATTTGGGAATTGCCCATGAGGAAAAGTCGGCAATAGAATTTTGGGTAAAGTGCAGAATCACCCACTGTTTGACGCGTTTTTAAGAATTGCACGTATTCGGTATCCATGTGCACATCGACCTATTTTCACATTAAAAAAGAATCCCAGAATTGCACAAAAATGGCACTGCTCACGCCCTTGGCTTTATCTATGTACACGTCGACCTATCTGCTCTTAAAAAGTAAAAGAAAATTGACAAAAAACCAATTTTTTTTAGCCTTTGTAAAAAGCGGCAAACAAATAAGTGAGCGATTCTGCACTTTACCGAGAATATTTTCAAAGAAAAAGCATCATTCATTGTAGAAAATTACGTTTGAACAACCACGAGATGAAAAATTATGCTTTAGCGATAAGTCGGTTAGCGAAATAGCGATGCAGGCATTCATTCAGTTATGTTTAGCATTTTTATATAAATTATAAAGAAATATAATAAGATCTGAAATAGTTATTACTCTTTTGCTTCCATTCAGTCATGTTTAGCCTTTTTCATATAAATATAATAATAAAAAGTATTATATGAAATTAACCTTCATCTAAATTTAAACATCAATCTTAAATAGTATTTACTATTATACTTCCTTTCTTGCCGCAATTATTAGGGTTGCCGCAATTATTTTTGGCAGTATTGGCATCAACAATAGTTTGGCGATTTTTTATGGCCCTCGAAACCGAATAGTACCAAAATATGTTATCCTAGAAATCTAAAAATCCTTTTCTAAGTGCAAATTATACTACTTGCAAATGACTGAGTAAAGATGCCCATAAATTCAGGATTGTCTTTTTGGACATAAATTTGCGTTAAGCTCGATGATCTGTTGTCCTCGGATTACTTGTTAACTGTATATGTAATCCTAAACTGTCCCATTGCAGGCAATCAAAAGCTTTCAGCCAAGGCCAAGTTCCAACAGATGGATGCCGTCCAAAACAAGCAAACTCCATCCAGACCCAAGTGAGTCTTTTCTGTTATCTCTTTCACTGGGGGAAATGTTTCAACACGGGGAATATTTTTTAAAAGTTGGACAGCAGCACTTAAATATGTGATGAGCTCTACCAGATGTTTAACTTCTCCAATTTGGCGCAATGTAGCTTCGAAAGATGAGTTACAAAGAGAGAGCGATGGTGTGTCTGTGAAGCACACAGGTGATTCTGCAAAGCTACCGAGTCGCAAAAGACGGCTTCTCTTTCCATTTTTATTTATATGCTTGAATCTTGGCTTAAACTAAAGCTACCAGGAAGTTTCTAAAATAACACAAGCGCTTATTATTTTACCAACCAAAAAGCAGCTATAAGTTTTCTAACTGGAGGATGAAAATTTCCTGCTTAACTGTTCTTACAGATTCACAAGTAAAACTACCTTTCCTTGACAAACATTTTTCCAGATATGTAACTATTTGTACCTTTAAACAATCAGTAATTTACGAAAAAAAATGCATTCGGCATTTTAATTGAAAATGATGAAAATACCGACAGATACCTGATATTCTCAAAGATTTTTTTTTTTAGCCCAAAATGGCAATTTGCCGAGAAGGGCTATTAATTTAGTTTTGGCATTTTGCATTGGTTCACGACAAACGGCGTTTTACTTTTCAAATTGTTGCCACTAAATATTAGACCCTTGCATTATATTTAAAGAAGTCAAATAATGAAGAATCTGCATGAATGTATGTATTTTTCTCACACTGTGAAAAAACAGCGGTGCCTAGAAATATCAAATTTTGAATAACGTAGTCCTCCACTCAAATATGGGCATCTGAAAGCCCAAATCTAGAATTTGTTTTATTATCTATTTCATATTTTGTAAAACTTTAACGAATTTTTGATTAGCAGACTCAACGATTTCAAAACGAGCAATGGCAACGGGAAGGGGAAAAAAAAAACATTTTTATCTCCAGCGCGTGAGACTGTGTATCGGAAATTCTAAAGATATGCTATTTTTAAATATTTTTATGATATTCCTGTTGAATTTAATTTTATGGTTTAAGTGCAAAGAATATGATATTGTTACGAAATGTACAGGCGCGCTAAGATAGCTTCCCCGCAAAGCAGTTTTAGGGTTGTCATAAATGGCAACAGAAGGCAGGGTTGCCACATTTGGCGAGAAATCGCCCATCTGGCAACAAAATTGGCGGTATACCATGGACGGTTGGAGAACCTTTTGGAACGAATTCTTACCGGTTTAGCCCAGAATGTTCTCGAACACCAGTCAAAAGCTATATAAACCCTGCTGGTCCGCAGTCAGTTAGCGTTTGTGTGTGTGCCTCGTCTAGAGTGCGAGTTAGTTAGTATCGAGTGTGCCTCTCCTCTAGCGAGTCAATCCGTGCGGAGTCGATCGAGTTGACAGCCGGGCAGCGAGTGCCGAGTGGGTCATCAAGTGCATTGAAGGAGTCTCTTAGTGTATCGCGGTTGGTGCATCGTCGAGAGAGCTTATTGAGCTCCGGTAACGACTGAACCGAAGGGTCGGGAGCTGTGCTCGTGTGTCGTCGAGTGCATCGCGAGTTGTAGCGTGAAGAGTCTCGAGAGCACGTGGAGTTCCGACAACGACCAAGTAGAGTCGGGTGCTTTGCATGAAGCTGTCTCCACCGTAATAGCCTGATAACCGGAAGGCTGTGTCGCTGATCGTGTCAGCGTGTTTATAGTAGTTCATCGACGACTGTAAACGTGTTTTGGAACTGTCCTGACAATAATTGCAAATAAAGTGTGTTTTGATACTTCATCAAGTGTCGTCGTTATTCACTCCAAATCTACGAACCCCGTACGAACGTGAAGGAAGAAATAACGTAACAACTGGTGACAGAAAAGAAAAACGCAACAATATTTAATAAATAAAGGTAACGCACAAAACGTAAAAAAAAAAAAAAAAAAAAAAAAAAAAAAAAAAAAAAAAAAGCGGGGGGCCGCTTTGGGCGTAATAAAAAATCTGAAAAACCTTCAGACGCTGTACTTGTTTACTTTAGAAATAGTGTGTGTATGTCGATCGTTTAACGGAATATCAACGAAAATACTTAAGAGCTGATGATTCTTCACTATTTCAAAAGAACTTATTCACAGTTTCTACGAAAAACTGATTAAAATATGAAAAGTGTTACCAAGAAGCATAATTTTATGAGTTCGTAACACCTATGAAATTATGGCCTATAAATATTGAAGCACTTTTAGTATTGTAATCAGTTATTCGTAGAAATTATGAATCTAGTTGTGCATGCATTTTTAACCACAGTAGAATGAATCTAGTTATGAACGCATTTTTAACCATACGAGTTAAGTTGAATAAATTAATTCTTATCTAAAAGTAACAAGTTAGGTTTAATTTATTAGTTGTAGCCGTAAGGAAGGTGAGAGCTTTAATCAGGCGTTGTCCTGTAACAAAATCCAAGTGCACAAGGGTCATTTACAACTACTAATATTTGATTGTAATTATCTTAGAGTAGGCGATTTTAGATATCTGCTGGAGCTGAAAAAGGTACACCATAGACAGAAAAGCTTTGATTTCGGAAATAATGAGCGAAAACGAAGCATATAGTGGCATTAGTGATTGAAAAGTATAATTAACAAGGAAATTTTTCCTGACGAACAGATGGCAAACTCTATATTACGATCAAGTATGAATTCGATTGAAGAGTGCAAAAAATGGGTAAATGAAATCAGCGTAAATACAAATGCCCAGGGCAAAGACTGCAAACCAAATGCTATTGCAAGATTGCTTTCAGTTATGTATTTTCCCATTTCAGTAAATTTGATATGTTAAAAATACAAGTATGTTTATGTACTATGTCACAGTATCATCTTTCTTAATACACATACAGTTCATTAGCTTTTTTTTTTTTTAAACATTTCCTAAATTTCTATATATTGTAACATTAAGAAAAAAGTTTTAAGGAATGATTTGCTTCCTTCAGAGGAATATAGCAAGTGTTTCTAAATAACACTGAAGAATTTTACAGTTACTTAATGCTGTTTACTTAATTCTTTGAAATAAGAAAAAAAAAAAAAAAAAAAAAAACCGCCAACATACATTACCAAACTAGGAGAGAAAATACAGTTTACATTACTGAATTATAACATGTAAACAAATTAAATCTAAATAACGAACTATTACGAACATATGTTAACAAATATTAAATGCACCGTTATCAGCAAATTAGCCTAAATTAAAATGAAACATATATTAATAAAAAAAATGCAAATTCAATCAGTAAGGACGTTAAAATAACGAGTAATAACGAGTAAGTTCCATAATATTGCAATTGTAAACATCACTGAACCACACTGGACAGCAACGGACATCACGAATATGTTAATGTAGGGTTGCTTACTCGCCAATATTTCTCCCCGCGCCAAATGTACACCATCAAGCATGCGCAGTAAGCGAAATTCGCTTAACACTATCAATTCAATGTGCGGTTTGCCATTACGCAGCTCGTAGCGCCACGAAATATTGTAAAAGCTTCATTAATTAATTGAACCAAAACATTTGGCTTAACTTAATAAGGTATTTTCTTTCTCATTTCCGGCATGCCTTCGTTTTGTAACGGTTAGCACGGCGCGAATTCAAGATGTCCAGATTCGAATGCCGACGAGGGCGTTGCTCATTTTCCACCCCTCCTGTTTAAAATAAATAAATAAAAAATTTAAAAAAAAAACATAATGACTGTACAGTGGCGCCCGAATAAAAATGTGGTCGCTGATGATTCTTCACTACCAGGATTTGGTGATTGGGTCTCTTAATCCCCAGTCGCCCTTTAAAAGGGGAAGCTTAAAAAGTATTTTCTCCATCCTTTCCGGCATGCCTTTCGTGGTATAACAGTTAGTACACTCGGCACGTATTCGAGAGGTCCAGGTTTGAGTCCCGTCGAGGGCATTGCTCATTTTTTACCCCTCCTGTTTTTAAAAAAAATCTTAATGTCTCTACAAACTAAACAAAAAACAAAGCTAAAAACATCTAGATTTATTTTTTCTTTACCCTATATAAAAGTAACATCGCCGGCGTAGAATATTCTCGCATTTGCGAGCCGGCAACGCTGCGTCTTTTCAATAGCACCAAATGATCGCGCCATACATTATGCTATACTGAGAATACATATAAGGCTAGAACAAGCTTGCACGTCTCGCTTTGTAAATAGAAACCGTGAACTTTTCTTTGTATTGTTGCTAAAGTTAACTCATTTATGTCCTTTCATTCGGGTTTGAGTGTACCGACTTTCTTAGATCTTTTTTTTTTTTTTTTTTTTTTTTTTTTTTTTTTTTTTTCTTACTTACCCGAAGTCGAAAATCCACCATTTTCTTTCCCATCGGATTTCGTACGATTTAAATGCTTGTCACGAAACCGACAGTCGTCGAATCAGCAGCAAAAAGTAACAATTTTGTTACCGGATTTAATGAAGAAAGATTTCATTTAAATTTATTTCTTCGAATTTCATTAGATAGATTTCTCATTCAATTAAGTCAGTTCTCAATACGCCGCTAGTCAAAAGTGAAAAACATTAAAAAATTAAAAATCATTAAAAATCGAAAAATGTAAAAAAACGGTAAAACACCAAATGCAGTTAAAATTATTTTTTAAAAAAAATTTCTTTTAAAATTACATTAAAAATCGAAAAATGTAGAAAAACGTAAAACACCGAATGCAGTTAACATAATTTTTTTTTTTTTTAATTTTCCATTAAAATTAATTAGAGTTCCTACGCAAAACAAGCTTTTCGGACAGCAGGAAAGTAGGCAGACTTTTCGGTGGGCAAAACCGAAAGTTTCCTTTTGATCCCACTCGACAAAAAGGACCCTGAAGGTGCAGAAACTGACTTAATTCACTATTCTGCTAACTTTCAAGTGTAAACAAATATCGGTGCTATGGTAAAGGTAAAAAAAAAAAAAAAAAAAAATTAGGGTTAGCCGCACTGAAACAACTTTTAAATTGTTGATAATTCTACAACTATAAGATGCAGGGTAACTAAA